CTCATCTGAATAAAGCTTGGAGCATGTATACACACGTCATGATCGGGTTATTTGATTTTGCGCCCATATAAACAGTAAATTCAGATTTTCTGGTCGCTCAAATTTTTAATTGGATCAAGAAATGTTGCACATGTAAACATTGCTAGTGAGAAAGAGAGAGAGTGGGGATTGACATGAGCAAAAAGGGCTGCAGTAGAAGCAATCCTGGGCATTACCTCCATAAATATGAGGTGCTCACATAGACTGCCAGGCCACCAGCTTGAAAACAGAAAATTGAAGAGTTGGAGCTTTTGTTGTTTCGTGTCGTGCTTTTTCTCTTTTTTTATATTTGTGCTAAAAAAAGTTATGTTCGAATCAGTAAATTCTATTATATACTAATTTGTAGCCTTTCTTACCTCCAGGGGTGCGCGGATCATACAAAATAAAAAATAAAAAAATAAAAGTAATCCTGGTACTTTATCAGTATTGGCCATCAGGAGGTTATTATTGGTTATCAGAATCTTTTTAAAAACAAACATATCATGATTGGTGCACCTCTGTTTACATTATGTGAGTGTTCAGACGTGTCGGCAGGTGAAGTTCACTGTAAGGTTCTTGAGCATAAACACTGACATAAAGCAAACCCCACAGTCTGGCTCTCAGAACAATAAAAGTGAAGCGGAGTGTCCCCAAATGAAAAAAGAGCAAAACAAAAACCTTACATAGCATTATAATTGTCAGAGAAAGAAATAAGAGGCACTTTGACACTTTTTTCCACGGCGCAGTCATGCATTATTTATCTGGAGAGTTTATATCAGATCGCAGATACTGAGGCTGAGCAGAGCAGCCATTTTACATCCCAATCCCTTCCCTGTGTTTTATGATAAATGTCCTCAAAGTGCTCTGCATTTTACCCAGAGTGCACATAAACTACAGGCCAGCTAAAGCCATAACTCTCCCAGACCCACTCTCACGATTGCAGGCACCACTTCACAGAATCTTATTCACAGTCCCAAAACATACTCACAACAAACGAACACCTTTTTTTTTCTTTTGAATCTTTAGAATAAAAACTCAACTATTATGAATAACCTCATGAGAGATGATAATACTACAGATATTATGTTTTAATTTTTGCTGTAAATTTATTTCACAACAAATCACTGACATGTTTCTGAGTTATCAAATGTTGAAAATACATGTTTACTTTATAGGATCAGAAGGTGCTTCAGTTTTTCTGTAACCTCTGATATCACTTCATAATACCGGGTATTTTGCTTTCCTCTCTCTCACCAACACACACTCACACATGTATGCAAACACACACTCATTAAAATGATGCATTTCAATAAATGAGAGAGGCTTAAGATACTTTGTCAATTATTGGTCACAGTGGACATTGTTCATGGCCTGTGTGACCAATATGATACTCAGGGAGAGACCAAGGGTCTGCCCTCGCTATCATCACATAGAACTGTGGGGTCGGAGTTCACCCGACCTGCAGCTGCAAAATGATCACATCAAACCAGGATCATTGACTATTCTATAAACCTGCACTTAAGCCAATTAAGAGCAAAGCTTGATTATGGTTTGCTTTCTTTTTCTGTTAATGAGAGACGGATAAATTAGTTGTGAAAATACATTAATAACTTTCCCAGTTTCCAAATCCATGCAGAGACCAGGGCATAAATCACACTAAGCTGCAATTAACTCCGACGACTATTGTCCGTGTGCAAAACAAAACAAAAAAAACAAAGATAGCACCTCAAACACAAACAATAGACAGCAAAGTATTCAGATGAAGCACAATCTGAGGACAGCCGAGTGCAGAACCAGCTCAGTGCTACATCAGAGAACACCAAGTTTGTTTATTACTCCTCACATACACACAGCAAATGTCTCTAAGGCCAACGTGTTTTCAGCTTTACATTTCTGATCATCTATCTGACAGGATTTCCTGGAAAATGGGGAGCCAAACCAGAGCTTAGCGGTCTGACGCACAGAGCTGCGAGTCTGTCATCGGTGCTTACATACATCCAGAGTGTGATTTCTTTTCTTTATCATTTCCATGAAGTAATAATCATCATATTAATCATTTTGCACCGCAGACGCGGTAGTTCTTTTGCCTTAGCGTCTCGGTCTGATTGCATTTTCATGAGGAAATGATCATTAATGTTCTTTCTTGAGCTGCGTCAACCCGCTGCAGTTGATGGACTTGTCTGATGGTCTCCATACAAACAAACGGCTGCTGGAAGAGAGAGGGTGAGTTATGTTTAGTCTTTTCGCTAAAGAAATCAGGCAAAGTTAAACATGTTTGATGGCTAGTACTGCTAGGACCCTATATGTACTGTTGATGAAGTTAGGTGCTGTTCTGAGCATTATTTGTGGCTATAGAGTGGCGTTTTGGTTGAGCGCGTGCCTCTCTTTATTGCTATCATGCGATCGTTACTAAAGTTGGTATAATTAGAGAAGCAAGTGGTCGGCAACATTCATCTCTTGACGGGGTGTCTAACTCAGTGTTACGGTTTGTATGACCCTCACTTAATTTTATGCCGGAATATCCCTTTAAGGAAAAAAAATGAATAACCTTAACTCCTAAGTTTCTTCATCTTTTAATTTTCTTTTGCATTTATCACTGTTGTAAATTTGGAATTTCCCACTGTAGGGCTAATAAAAGAATATATTATCTTATCTTATCTAAAATGAACATCTTACAGCCTCATAAAGAAGCAGACCTGATCCATAGAGGATGGTGTCTTGCACCTCAGTGTTTACAGCAGCATACAATGGAAAAATGGTCATGGCATTATGAGTATTGCTATTTGATGAGTGGAGGACAAAGGAGAAGAAAAGAGCGGCTGTTGTAAAGTGCAAAAAAAAAAAAAAAAAGCTGTGTTGATTGATAAACGTTTTTGGTTGTAACAGCTTGTCAAAAGAGAGATCACACTTATCATGCATCGGTGGAGCTCTCTGTCCTTGAAGGCCACAGCTGGCCTGATTTTAGAGCTACATGAGCGGCAGAGTGTTTTAATCCAGGCCCTGACTGCTGGGCATCGCTAAATATTTCCACTTCTTCCCACTGGGCCATAAACGAAACACATCTCAAAAGAAAACAGCTGAAACTGAAGTGTGTTTGTTCCCAAAGTGTAACTATTATGAAACAGGAGGCAGCGGCATCAAAGAGGGACACACTTGAGTATGTGTGTTAATACAGTAGAATATTTGACCAACATGCAGTGAGACACTGGAGCCTCTGCACATGTATGGCTTGTTCTGTCTGGGTGTGTTTGCTCAGCTGGAAATAATGTTTGCCCACTGGATGACTGGCTAAGAGTGTTTCTCATCTGCATACATGTTTGACAGGCCACTTTGAAGGGATTGTTTTGACAGAAATGTGTGGGAAACTTTAATGGGGGATGAAAGAGCAGTTTCTATCCAAACACTGGAACCTCAGGAGAAGGCATCTCCTTTCCTTTTCACGTCACAGTTCTGCAGAGCAGGGTGAAGTTTCTTTGTATTTTACAAATGAAACTGATGCGCAAAGAGGATGACAAGGTTGAAACGTGTTATTGTTGTGCAAAAGAAGTGAATTGGATCTAGTCTTCTCAATTTTTTGTCATTTGCTCCGTAATGGCAGAGGTTTATTTTTTCTTCACATGCTGCAGAGTATTTCTGAGGGCTGTGAGTGACAACAGTTTGTTTTAAAATGAATCAGGATAAAAATCCCGGTTGAAGACTTGGCTGCACTGCAAACCTAATTTCATAAAAGGACGCCTGTAGCTTGGGAGCAGAAAATTAAATCAGAACTTGGAAATATATTCCTCCATAGGCTCGGTTAAAAATGTGTGTATTTCAGGTCTTTTTTATTGGGAGCAAACAGGACGGTCTGAGTGGCCACCGTGACTTTCCATGGATGCAGTTACACTGTAATTTTCAGGGATTAGTGGCAGAGCTGAATTCAGACGGTGCTATCCTGGCAGCGAGTGCCGCTGTGAGACTACTGAGCAGCTGTTAAAAAAGCCGTGGATCTGAACTCAGAATGAGGTGTTGCGCAATAGAAAAAAGACAAGCATCAGGTTGTTTTAGCGTCCCCAACTGGCCTCATTACCAGCCATTCAACTACTCTGGAGAATGGACGGAGAGGACATGTGGGTACATGTTGTGGATGGGCTAATGATAGATGTTGGTCGCGCTGACGTCACATGGTCACACGCCTGGAATTTTGTCTGGGTCAGCTCTTACCGCCATTTCCTGGTGGTTTGTGGACAGCTAGTCAACGTTATGAGGGGATCCAGAGGCTGCTGGTCCTCCTGGCATGGGTCCCATTGTACTCTGTTCCCCGTCTTTTGGTCTTTTATTGGGGTATCTAAACTTTACAAGCCCCAGGCTCCCCCAAGTTTACCCCACACTGGAACTAAAGATCTGGGTAAACAACTTGATGTTATGTGCAGATATTTTTTATTCTGCAGCCTCCTCTCTCTTACTGGTGGTCCTACTGTCAAATTCGGTCTTTATTTCAGAATTATAGTGAGTTTAGAAACTCTACTTTTGAGACTGACTCTGTTTGCCAAGAGAGATGAAGCACCAGAAATCTAATGCACAGCTTTGAAAGAAGGATGTGTGAGAGAAGAGAGGAGTGATGAACAAATGAGGGATCGAGGCAGAGAAAAGGCCGAGGTTGAAGGGTTGGAATAGTTGTTTTTACCTCCTGCCCTGACTTTGTGGTCTGTGGAGAGCTCGGCTGGACAAATATACCATTACGCTTTACCATCTGTCCCTTTAGAGATGCACAAGTCACCCTGGATTTAAAGGGAAGGATTTTAATTGCTACTTGGATGATACATCACATGGGACTCAAATAGATTTTTTGCATAATGACCAATACTTAAATCCCTAACACAGTCCCTTTTAGATACACCCACATGTGACCTTTTCTAGGTCACAGATGACCCAGAGAGGCTGGTCCTGTAACCCTGCAGACCTTCAGAGCTCTCCTCTATACAGGCTCAGAAAGAGGTCAGAAAAAAACTAACCTGCAGGAAATTGGTTCACTCTCAGGAGCTCAAAAATAATATGATTGATTATTAGGTTTTTAATGAGCAGGTGAGGAGTTTCTAGCATATGGCGATGACACTGTCTGCATGTTTAATTAACACGGGGAGAAAGATTCAACATCTGAGCCTCAGAAGAAGGAAAACAGTGAAAAAAATGTCTATAAGAATAATCTCGGCTTTTTATTACCTCTTTTTTCCTTGTTGATCAGAGCGTCCTTTGCTTATCCATGCCCCCTCTGTATGCCCTCTCTGAATGCCCTCTCCTGGGGCCTGAGGGAGCCTTTTGATATGCCCCCTTTTCTCTTGGCAAGGTTGTATTTCTTCATTAGGCCCTCTGGGGGCTGCCAGAGTCCCAGAGGATGTCAGAGTACATTAATTCTCATCAGGACATGGGTCCTCTCAGGTGTGAATGGCAGCCAGCAGCTGTCGACAGGGCTCTCTCAATCCTACTGCAACTCATATATCACCCAGTGCATGTACACACAGATGCTTACACACGCACACACATGCATGCACGTGCACACACACTGTTAACCAACTATGCAAAGTAAAAGCCAGACATATGCAAGTGTGCTGGTGAAAGAATCATCACAGACGGAGAGAGATTTACGCTGAAATCACTGGTATATGAACATATCTCCATTTAGGACGTGACCCATGATAATTACAAAAGCAGCCATAGATCTTAAAGTCTTTAGGGGCACAGAAAACCGTCCCTGCTTAATTTTCCATGTGAGTAAATTTGCTGGGTGCATTTGAGGAGCCTTTGTGATTGCCTCATAGCCTCTCGAGCGAGCGCCCTAACCACCGTAGGAATAGATCACGATTATCTCTCTCTCTTTTCCTCTTTCCCCGTCTCGATTTTTCCTTTTTCATGGCATGTCGTAGCCTCACATGTGTCTCACCAAGATATTTTCTCAAGTAATTACATAAAGTAATTCCTCCCAGTGCGGTTGTTATGGCTCCCTGCAGACGTGTATACAAATTACTCATATTTGCTCTGTGGTCGAAGCCTTGAGCTGTCCCACAAGACTACGGGGTTTACATTATGAAGGCCTGCCTATTAAAGCCATTTGTTAAGGTCTTCACTCCTGGGAGGAGGCAGCTCTGTAGGACACTAAATGAAAGGGGTTAGCTGAAGAAGTGAGCTGTTAATTACTTCAGTTTGTTATAGAAAGCTTCACATTGGATTCAGACTCGACAGCCAAACCTTAATCCTCGTGTAAACCCAGACAGGGCTCCAAAGCAGTGGAAATTGCTCCTTCTACTTAAAGCAGTTTGAACACGTTAAAAGAAATGATGTTTTAAATGTAGGAGGCTTTAAGGTCTGTATAGGGTGATTGCTCTTTCCCAGTACTATTTTGTCATCCTGTGATTATTTTGTCATCATCACACCATATTTTTCCCCTCTGTCTATGGTTGTTCCATAAATTACTTATCTGTTTTCTTCATGACTGAACTCATTGGCTGTGTGTCTCTTTCACACTTCTCGACACCTCATTTGGTCTAATTTCTCCCTAACTGGAGGAAGGATGGATTGGAGTAAGGGTTTATGTAACTCGGGTATAAGGGATCAAAAGTAATATGTTTAGAAGACAAACAAAATTTTGTGTTTGTCATGATCGCATTTCTATCTCAGACAGGAGGGTGGACCATTTCCCCATTTTGCCTCACATTGCAGAGTTACAGAGTTCAGAGAGCTGTGTGCTTCTAGGCTGTTTTTTTTTTTTTTTTTTTTTTTTTGCTGGTGGTTTTGAGGAGGGAAGGATGAAAATCTCTGACCAGAAACACGAATGAACTCTTAAAACAGGCTGTTCGTTTTATCCTGTTTATGTGAAATAAGCCAGCTTGGTCAGAAGTGGCAAAGGACTAAAAAATGAGATTTCCTGACACCTACCACATGAAGGACAAGGGCTCAGGTTGTAGGACTTCTTTTATAAAAATGAATAAATAAGAATAGAAAATGAAATGTGCATCAGCTTCACTGTCTTCTATTATAAACCGAGTGTTCCTGTTTTGTTTAGTGTGGGCCCCTCCAGTGAATGATTCAAAGTTACCTGCTCTGTTCTTACATCAGTTCACCAAACTTAGAGCTGACTTTTTACTCAGGGGCTGCTGGCAGGAAAAAAAATCTGCACAAAGTTTTTGTAAACATGGTGTCATTTTGCGTTGACAAACTGAAAATGTCAGGAAATTTTGCAGGAGTGCAGAGCACAGTGTTGTTGGTGAACTTGCCAAAGTCAACGTGTTGATTGAATGAGCTCATATTTTGGTGAATTGAGCAGACCATGAGTGTAGTTCAGCCCGTCACTTTCTGGAAGGATCTGAGACATATTCAGAGAAACTCAGAGTTACTGAGTACTGAAGTCAGATGTTAGGCGCCTGCTGCTTCTCGCTTCATCATAAGTGGTGCAGATGAATCGCTCCTCTAAAACAAATAAAGTGGTTTTATGAACAAATTAGGACAGATCCTAACAGGCTAAAAAACGGTTTGGTTTCAGAAAGGTGAAGAAAGATTCGCTTTTTCTGTTTGTTTGTTCAGTGTTTTTTTTTTTTTCTACCCATAGCCTCTTATTTTAGAGGACATGAAAACCATCTCTCCCACATCATCAAAAACAAATCAGATTTTTCCAGTGTTTGGATTAAAAGTACAAACCTTTGGCTGAATATTCTAACAAAAAAAAAAAAGATAGTCGTTTCTAAGTTCAAAAAAAAAAAAAAAAAAGAACAATTTTTTTCTTTGTTATCCATAAATCGCTCTGAAATTGATTTTTCTTTTTTCTTTTTGTCAACTAAATATCTGTCTGTGATTTGACAGTGGAGTTTGATAATCCTTTTAGTTTAGGAAAAATCATTGACTCAGGATTAGGGTTTGCAGATAAGGAGGCTGTGCTGACAGATAATTGATGTGCACCTGAAACAAAATGAACATAAACTTGGTCATTTTTTGGACTGTAAACTTCATTCAAAATTAAAAAAAAATAAACTCTGAACTAGTGTGAAAAAGTTAATTTCGATCTGTGTGACCTGAACTCCTCGAGAGCCCATTAAAGTGTCAACTTGCACAACATTATTTATACAAAGTAGGAAAGAGAGCAGCATCAGTGTCAGACAGAAAAACTATCAAAATAAGAGCATGACAAACAGTCATTTTATATGGCAATGTTTTCTCTAGAGAAATTTCCCTTTCACAGATAGTGATGTGGTTAAATCATAAATTTGAACATAGTTAGAAATGTAAGTTAATTCTACTTGTTTGTAAACTTTATGGAGTTGAAATATTTCTGAACATATGTTATGTTGCTCCGCTCTTGTCCTGACCTTTCTGTAAATATAGCAATATAACTTGGATATTTAATGGTCAGGATTATCAAGAGGTGAAAATCAGCTCTAATTGGGACTAACATAAAATTCAAAGAAATAAATAAACTCTGTTCATATATTACTAAAAATAATACTTTCATATGATACTTTAAAAAAAGCATCCTTGAGAGACATTGTAATGATGTTTTTTCCATGTTTACCTGCTGCTCGATGTGAATCACAGAGCTGGGGTGGGATCACAGAGGATTGTGAGGCATTAGGACACTGAAAGAGTGAGGACACTGGCCTCATTCATTGAGACAGCCCTGCTCTGGGCAGCTTGTAATTCCTCTGAAGCCCTTATGCTGATGGTGGCTTGGCAAAGCTTCCATTCCCTAGACAGAGGAGGGGAAAAGATGTTTTTAGGGAGGAGAACGGGGACGAAAAAGGAGCGCTGTCTCACTCAAGGTCACTCTTCAAATCAAGCAAACCTTACATGGGAGCTGAGTGAGGGTGTACCGGCACAGAGCACCCAATCACAGGGGGCCCCGGCTAGCACACCCCATCACTCTCGCCAGTGCGCTCACCAGGGGAGCCAGGCTTTGGGTTACGAATGAGCAATTACCATAGTCTGATTTACGCTCTCCTCCCCCTTTTTCATTTCACTTTGTTTGTCTTGTGTCTCACAGCTTGCTTTCAGGGTGAGCTGCCATTGCAAGCTAAAAGCGGTGTTCCTCCAAACAGTCCACCTTTGAACAATACCTCTTTCATGAATTGTGAAAATGTGTTACGTTTCATGCCTGTCCTGTCCAGAACAGAAAAACACAGTGTCTCTTTTGAGCTGTTTGGTTTTTGAAGCTTGTGTGTCAGGGCTCGGCTCTGTGAGGCCACACCTCAGCCTTCATCATTCCCAGCTGTCAGTGAACCTGCACCGGGCCGCCTGGGCACCTCATGCATTTCATCTGATCGCTGGAGCTCAGAATTCAGCATTTAGAGCCAGACTCAGGAAAGGGAAAATCAGAGAGGGCAAATTAGCCATCTACATGCCCTCACATCAAATAGTTGTGTAATTGTTTGAGCGTGTGGCACTGTGATTATATTTCAAGTGGTTAAAATTCCTCTTTTCATATTGTACCATACCTCTTTGTTTTTCAGCCCACACAGTCTTTTTTTGAAGTGTAAGGAGCAGAAATACTTAAAGAAAGCCTCCAACCGGAGTATCTGATAACTGGCTGATACAAAAACATGTTTGATTTCATTCAGCCCCCCCTATTGGCACCACACACCATCATAGTAAAAGGTGTATTGTACAGTTAAGTGCCGTCTCACCTGCAGTTTATTTTAAAGACTAATTGCCTCAATCTAATTGTATTATTCAGGGAGGGCAAGTGAGAAATTGAGTTTTGGGAAGTCTCTTAGTGCGGCAGCTGTATGATCCTCACCTTCTCTCTGTTCCTTTAGTGCAGTGTCAGTAATGCTTTGGACTCTGGCCCAGACACCCATGCGATGTGACAGGGTAGTCCCATTAAGGTTTCCTAATCAAGTCTCCTCTCCTCTTCCCTTCCTATCCCACTTTTTTCTGCCTTCACACAGAACCAGTGTTTTGGCAGAAAGCGCCGTGCTAAGGATTCAAGGCTGTGTTTGTGTTGGACGTTGGCCAATTGCCTCTTCTTTCTGCCCTCCTCTCCCATATGGGATGGTTGCTGCAAAGCAGCTAAATCAGGGGCAGTCATTACTTTGCCTCAAAGAGACTTCTCCCTCCTCCCATCACTTCATCAGCTGTCAAAGATGGACAGACATGCTGTAAACACACAAAAAAGCAAGGAAATTTAATTTCACAAGTAAACAGTTGTGGATAATATTTTGGGTTTGGGGTTGTCATGTCCCCACACAGGCACACGTTGTTTTTGGCTGCTTTACGGCAACCCTTATTACAGATAAGACATGTGGGTGGCTTTAAGTATATTCAGATTTTATTTCTACAAATCAGGATCTGCTGATTATGAATAACAGATTTAGAAATTTAGAATCTTTTTTTATTGTTTCCCTCCAGTTTAAATAGATTTATTTCAATTACACACAAACCGCAGTGTGTAATGGAATAATATGGATGAAGGTTGAATCCATAAGGTGAATCAACAAGGCAAACCAATCATTCCTGGTTGTCTGAGCAGCCGGTTAGTCTTTACCCAGGCCTTTGCCTGTAGTTTCAGCGTGGTTTCAGGCTCAGAGTGGCAGCCTGTGGTGGAGGCCCTGCGGCTGCATGGTTATCTCATAACCCTGAGTATTGGAGCATGAATACCAGCCACTTCCAGCTCACTTACAGAACTCATTAAGTCAGCCTCATATTTATCCAGCTGCCAGGTGCCTGACCGCAGCAGTGGACCGGGATGAAGAGGCCTGTGTGTCCACAGCAGGCAGGAAGGGGCGTAGACTACAACGTTACCAAAAGGACACTGCACGGTGAAGGGTAGGAAGAAAGAACTGAAGCGAGGAAATAGAAAAAGACAACAGAAAAAAAAAAACATGCATCTGCTTCTTTCTTCTAAAGTGCCTTTATGCTGTTATGGCTGAGTTCACTTCACTTTAAAGCTCCTGTGAGGAGATTTCTAGCTAGCAATAAAATAGACTGAAATTCAAAGTGATGCACTTTTTATGAGCAACCAAAGCCAATAACAGCTTTTTAATTTTTTTAATCAAATTTTTATTACAGTATTTTCAGACAGTTAACAAGACATGCACATTGATAACAGGGTGAATAAAAACAAACACACATAAGAAAAAACAGCCCCACAGCAGGAGAGGTAAAAAAAAACGGGATTCACTAATTACAGCAAAATACTGTGTACTGTTAAAATCAACAGCTTTAAGATTTATGTCAGGAATAGTTTAAAAAATAATATTAAAAACATCAACATCTCACAATCTGGAAATGTCTGGGTAAATCCATGGCAGGGCAGTTCTCACAACATTAGAAAGGTCATAGATAAATAAAGACTTAATTATAATGGCATTACCTTGACTCTGGGGAGCTTGTGAAGTCCTTTTTTCTATAGCAAATAAAGTCCACGCTGCCTGTTTGAGGTTTTTCGTGAAACTTTAGTTTTTGTGTCTTTGAAAAGAGCTGTGAATATGGCCACAGTAAGAATTGAAACTTTGGCTCCAGTGTGTTTACTAACCTTCTGAATCCTTCTCTGTTGATAGCAATTAATGTCCGCTGGTCTTTGGTTGTTAATTCCGCGATGCATCTTATTTCTTGAGCTGTCACACTCTTATGGAGAAGTGAGACTGTAAACTTCTTTTTTTTCCTTTTCCTGACACAAGAAATCTGACATGCCTCTACACATCTGATGAAAAAGCTGCAGGAGAATCCGTAATTTATAATAATCTAATGTAAACTTTGGTCTAGAAGCAATATCAGTTCATTTAATCACAGGTCTAGGATGGCATGACAACACTTAGTGACATATTAACATGTTACATTCTCAATTTTACTGTATTTGAGCCTCTTGCAGGTTTTGTTCACTGTGCATGAAGAGTAGATCAGAATAAGCACACTTCCAATTTTTCAAACTCTCAGGCCGATATTTCTCTAGACTAATTTTGATTGTATATGATGAGCACGTTGTTGATGTACTAAATGAAAGCAAACCCATCTCTGAATTAGGTAAAGCCCAGCTGTGATATCACAAAAAACACCAGGTGTGGGTTTCTCAACAGAAGTTAAAACCGGTCCTCTACATTACTCCGTCTTCAGAGGGAGGGAACCCTCTGAGTGTGGGGATAAAGCTGTAGCATGGAGTCCCCAGCCTGACTCTGTGCCTCCCCACATTTTAACCAGGCGTCCCAAGCGGAGTGCAATTGATTTTGGCAGAGGATGGAATAAAGATTGATTGAATCAGAATGGAAAGAACCTCGCCGGAGGATCGACCATGCAGTAACCCCTCAGCTGTGGACGCCTTTGCCAAGAAAGTACTCACAGTTATTCTAGCGTAAGGGGCAATGCGATTAAAGCCCATAGCCTGCACACACAGAGCACAGGGGGTGGAGAACGTGTCCTATGGAGAAATTACACATGTGACCACTAGACTGTGGTTTTACTGTTAATTAGAGGATTGACTAATATCTACTTCACTGTGGTCTGGGATGATGAGGGAATGGAAACAGGCGCAGAGAGAAGAGATTTATTAAATGGAGTAATAACAGACACTGTGAAAATACTCAGTACATGTGGTCTGCTCTGTTTGTTCTGTGTGGTGTCTGTTTAGTGTAAACGTGCCCTCTTTGAATCAATGTTAAACAGGTTCTGGCTCCTATTGTTGATGTAGTAAAGCAGTACAGCTGGCTAAAAGAATGAAGCGTTACTTATCCAATATACAGCCAGTGTTTTTCCTGAAAGCTGCAGGGTTTTAAGCTCCACCTCAGGGAAATGCAAACGCTAACAAGTGTGCCCGCTTAAAACGTGACGCTTTATATTTCTACAATTATCAGATTATGGTATAACTGGCATATCAATTGTGTAGCCTTCACAAACTTCACCTCAACGTAAACATCATCAGGGAGGCCTCTGTCATCTCTGTGTTTGCCAAGTGCGTGTTCTGTCACTATGTGTGTATATTTACAGCACGTTTGTCTTTCTACCCAGGGAGCTCGTCGAACACCTGTCAGGAAACAGCTTCACCAGAGACAATCAAAGAGTGGCGCGTGGCATGTTTGATGTGTACTCAAACATAATGTGCTGTGAAAACATCCCAACGCTCTGCCAACGCTAACTCTCGCTCTGTCTGGCTCTGGTTCCTCTCCACTCATGTGCCTGTGAGGCTTGTGTTTATCTCGGGTTTATACTTCTTCATCCTCACACACACGCTGAAGTGATACTGTGAACAGATGAAGAGGCTCAGAGCTGATCAACAGATCCATCTGTTGCATTTACTGTACGCTGTGAGTTCTCTGTTTGATGTTTGGGACTTATACGAGTCTGTCATCTGGTTGTGTTGGTCTCAGTCGTACTGGCCGCATGTTTTATGTAAATATATCAAAAACAAAAGGCTTGTGCTATAAAAAATGAGACTGACTTAATGTAAAAAAATTTTAAAGCTATTGAAAGTATTCAGTACTATAGTAGTAGTGGTTGAAAAATAGTGTTTGAAAAATCCACAGCAAACACAATGGGCTCTATTTTCGTGCCTTGCCGGCGGTGTGGCATAGGCACGGCATAAGTCAGGTCTGCCACGGCGATGAGGTGTGTCAGTCTACCAATATACCACTAGACCGGCTGTGCTCCAACTGCGCTGAAAGCGGACCAGGTTTGAATAGGCGGGCTTTCAGCGCACTTTCCGCTCTGCCGGCAGCCAGGAAAATGTCACTGCGCCAGCTGATTCTGTGGACACCTCCCCCTACCGCGCTACCACGCCCAGCTTGGCGGACCTCAGTGCGCCTCAGTCTACCAAAATACCAAACTGGTTGTGTGCCGGCCTCCAATAGATTAAAATACCACTGCGCGGGTTGCGCCACGCTCTGCCAGGCACAAAAATATAGCCCAACCTGTTTTTAGTCAATTGGACCGAAATCCCTTTTAGTTTTAGTCCCTCTTAAGTCACTTTTGCTTTGAAATGTTAGAGTCAATGTGCAGCTAATAAAGGTCAAAACATTTTAGTCTAGTTTTAGTCATTGAAAAAAATCTCTATTTAAGCCAATAGCTACTTGTGGTTGTCTTCTGCTTTCATACAAATTCAGTGAATAATCACAAATGGATATTTTGGTTGCAGAATTGCTTCGATCTGCAGCATCAACATTTCAACTCTTGATTTTTTACCTTAGCTGGATGATAAAGTTTAGACTGTTCTAGCAACCTGTGTTGATAAAGTAACACAGAAGAATGATCCTAACGCCAATATTTATTTTCGTTGACTTGTTCTCCTCTTTGTGGGGGTAGGGGTGTTTGGCCCCTTACAACCTAAAGCTCAGAAACAGACACTCAGTTTGCTGCTCTCTCAGCAGCATCCTCCTCTTCAATGATATGAAGTTTATCATGATTAGAACATCTTTCACAAATTTGTTCTCTAATGTGTCTCCAAACAAGGACACAGCTCCAGATGCAGAACAGACAGTTGGATTTTGAGAAAAGGGCTTATATATCCTTTTATCTACCACTGACGCCATGTTTTAAGATAACCTTTGACAAAAAGCTGTGCAGATTACTGTGAGAAAATACTAAGAAAGAAAAAACGGATTAGCTCATTACAGTAAAGCAGGACTCTCTGTAAGCCATCCTTCATTCAGAGTAAAAATATTTTCCCTGGCAGCACTGAGTGTGCAGAAAAGGACTTGTGCTGAGTTTCTGGAGGGAATCACTGAGTTATTCCCATCACTTCCTTTCCTGATCTGCACCTGTGCTCTTCTCTTTGTCTCACTTGAACAGTTCTGACCTTTTCAAGAGATGGGCGCTGCAGATCTGACCGTCTCTTTGATGAAATCAGAGAAGGTCCATTCTCCTGTAAAGGTGTTGTGTTAAACACTTGGGTGAGTATTTCCTGTGTTTTGGACAGGGTATTTTGCTTCTTCGAGCCTCTGAAAACTCAACCCCCATTCATTTTGTATTGCGTGAGGATGCACCTCTGCAAAGCTTTCTGGTATTCTTTGCATCCCAGATGGCCACTCTGCATTTTGTTTCCTTCTTCATTTTGGCAAAATCATGCTCATAAATCAGATTGTAATATTAAAAAAAATGCAGCAGAAGTGGACAGGTGTCTCTCGATGTTCTTGCCCCTTGCAAGCATCCATATAAGCATGCCAGACCAGAAGGTGGCGATAATAATTTATCAGTATGTCACATTAAACACCACAGAGGTCACAATATTAATAGTACTGCAGGGTTTTTCCTGGCTCAAATTGAGGCAGGGGTGGCACCGTCCTGACCATGCGCCATGACGTGCATGTATTTGTAAATTCAACTGACTCACTTTCTTTTACAGGCAACATACTTTAAGTTAAGAGTTCAAAAAAGAGTGTGACCATTATTATGTTAAAGCATTTATTTATTAAAACTATATACATACACAAATCAGCTGGCAACTTTAAATTGAAAGTACACTTCATCCACACATCTCACAACCAGACAGAACATTTCAGCCTCCTCTTTTTAATTCTGTAGAACCTCCTCATGCACTCCTTGTAGTCCAAGGCCTCCTGGTCTGGTCCATCAACGGCCACCTTACAACAGACATCCAAGTGCCTCTCCTTCAGTCTGTTCCGCAGAGGTGTCCTCACCTTAAACAAAACAATTCATCATGCATTAAGTATTTTTGTTTTTATTCTGATACAGACATGAAGAATGATAGTGTTTTAATCATATATTATATATATGTATACGTTGCAGTGTCCTCCCTAAAAAAACGACAACCAATTATTTCTTAAACTATCCAAACTATGTTATTTTAGTTTTTGTAACTTTATTAGTTGAGTGTTTTTAGGTACTACCATCTTTAATATATTTCTCCTTCTCTTCTGCTGCTTTGTGAACGGCTGTCACCTCATGTCTTTTTAATGTGTCCAGCCTGTAGTTGGTTGATGGCTGTCTCACTAAGGAGGCAGCAATTGCCTGCTGTGTTGGGGCACAGTGCTTTTGGCATAAATAGCAGTGCATGCCTTCCTCAGTATGCCTGAGCCAGGTAAATTGATTGAGCCACTGCTTGTCAAAGCCACTGGCTCTGTGTTTTTGAGAAGATCTAGACAGAGGAATAAAAACCACGTACACGTTGGTTTCGCGTTGTTATGCTCCTAATTGGAAACTAATTAATTAATTACCCTCGCCTCGCCGACTCGTCCTGTCCTGCATTCTGACCCTCGCGATCACCAGTCCCTTGTGAAGTACTTTCAGACCTAACACAAATGTCCACGTTGTCCCTACCATGAGTTATAGCATTTTAACTGCCTGTTACGTTTTTTCTCTGCTGTGTTTCACCTGGACTCTTGACTTTCCTCCTCGCGAGGTCGCTTTTTAAAGTACTGGCTGATTTTGCCTGTCATATCTGCAACGCTAAAAAAACGGAGGAAACTTTTTTTTTAATAAACACGTCATGCTTGGATGCAAAAAAGACAAGCAGTATTTACCTGTTTGTACCAGCCGCCGGGGAAAATCAGGTCGCCGATAGCACCAACTAGCGGGAAAAAAACTTGAAAAAACATGATTCGATCCGTTTCTTCTTCGGTAGATGCTTCAGGTCTTTCCGGTGCACTGCTGTTGATATAGCGCCTCTATAGTGGCGCAACGCTGCAACTGCAGTTAAAATACGTTGCTGCTGCAGAGGGACATCATACACTCAATCAACACAGCTGGAGCTTTACGCTGTGTTGAGCGAAATCAATCGCTCTGGCTGGGGGCGGCACAAAATTAGGTGGAGGCGGCCGCCACGCAATTTTGAACGCAGGAAAAACCCTGTACTGGCTCAACCTAACTTTTGGTCAACCTGCTAGAGGCGGGTCTTTAGCCTCCTTGCAAACAGCTACATTGTGCCCACCTGTCAGTCAAGTCAGCTGAACCTCTGATTAGCTGATCTCGTAACCTTTATAACTTGAAAATGAAAGTGTCACTCTGGCTCAGTGGGTGCTGTGGGAGCCCAGATGATTCAGACCAAAACTCTTTTTTGAACCAGACTGAAAAACACCCTTTAGGCATTGTGTGTACGTGTTTTTCAGTGCTTCCACAGCCAGCCTCAAGCAGGCAAGCAGTGAAAAGCAGTTTTTAGTACCTCTACATCAGCTTCTTTATCCAGACTGAAGATGCTGCTTGACCTGTGGGTGTTCTTTAAAAACCTCAGTTTTCAGAACTTAAACCCTGTTTAACAGTACACAAATGGACAAAATATATGAAAAAAAGCTGTTTTCAAAAATACTCTCTGAACTGTGAACTAGACCCTTTTTTTTTTTTACTTTTTTCCTCAGAGTTGTGTTCTTTTTTTCTTTTTCATATATTTTTTGGTGTCTCAACTCATTCACTTAATTATTGTTGTGTTATGTGATTATTAGTGGCACTATCTTATTCTAAGGGATGATACAGGGGCCAATTTTAGGCACCCATTTTACAGTTTTTTTTTATATATATATATATATATATATATATATATATATATATATATATATGTATATATTCTTACAAAAACAAACGTTTCTCCCATAAAAGCAAAAGTCCTGAACCTGCAGTGAGCCTCTGTTCTTCTTAAGATTCATCTGAGAGCTGTATCATCTCGAGCCTCCCAGTGTGTCAGAGAAAAAAGAGACTGTACCTCATTTCATCTCCTTTATATTAACGTGTCTAACAATAATCAGACTGCAACATGTTTTCTTTAATCACAGAAAATCTGTTGAGTCTTCTTAGACAAAAGCATTATGACAGCAGGTCTGTGGTTCAAAGTAGGCTTCCCCTTGAAAGAGATCTGAGTTAGAGGCTGATAACAAGTTTTGAGAGCTTGCCTTCCAGAGCTTTGAATAATAATATTTGACTGAAAATAGGTTTAAAACTATTAAGCAGATATAAGCAGGACTAAACTTTCTAACACTGTGGACTTGAACATAAAACACACACAAGAAGAAAACCAATAAAAGTTCAAGATACAGGGTTTTTGAAGTAAGGTGTTGGGACCATATGGACAATTTGGCTCCGCCCCCTGTCATTATACAGATTTGAGGCTGAATTTCTCTCAGTATTTCCGTGTTTTTCTCTGTATTTTCACTTCCTGGAACCACTTGCACAGTAGCATTGTACG